GTATGAAAAGTCCATAACTGTGTTAATTAACGGAAATTTGTAAGATAAGTTTTTTTTTGAAAAAAAGTACAAATCTCAGAATTTGTATGAATAGTTTAAGTTGTAAAATATTGTCTTCTACTTTTTTTTTTCTGAAAATCTGCTCAAATGCATCCAAATGACCGAATTTTTGGCTTCAAAAACCCTAACATTCAAATGACCTTAAAGGGGGACTCCGACCAAAAATTTTTATTGCATTAAAATGTTCGAAAAGTTGTCTATTTTCCCAATATTATAGCGAAAAAATTCGAAAAAAATCCGAAATTTCCGAAAAATGCCGTTAAAAGCGAAAAATTTTTATGGATGAATACTTTGCTGTCTGCACCACTTTTTACTCATTTCCAGTTGATATATTGCTGTTGTTATCGGTGGAAGAATCCTCCAGTTGAATTTCTGATTCTTCTTGACAATTGGAAATTACTTCCACAGAGATGAAAATCTGATCAAATGTTCCTTGATTGTCGTTGTTATCAATACAAGACTCATCAATTCGTTCTTCGTTCAGGTCAGTATTATTCATTCTGTAAGGCACGCCATCTGATAGTATTGAAGACGTATCCTCTCCTTCCGTATCGATTGTTGATTGATCTTCAGAATCGATCGGTCGGAGGAATCGGAGCGGTTCGGGGTCCATGATGTTGAGGCGGGGGACCACCGAATTAATTACCTTTGTTTTACTCTGGTGTTCTGAAAAAATACTATGTGAGTGATAGGAATGAAAAGACAGTAATAAGGTCGAGAGTATGATACCGTAAAAACTGTATTAGAAGGTCCCCTCTAATAGAAGGGCCCTCCGAGAGGGGCTTGGAAAATAGAAGCAATCCCTGTAATAGAAGAGCGTCTTCAAAATATGTTGTTAGAAATTAAAAATTTCCGTACTTTTTCAGTAAAAAAATTCGGCTAATTCATAGAAATTTTTTGAAAAATTTGCTCAAAAACCTGTTCAAATTTTGTGGAATTGATAGATTTTCATGAATTTTTACGAGAAGTGACTGAATTGTTCTGTGAAAAAAAATTGAGAAAACGACTGGAAAAATAAAATGGCTTCCTCCAATTCAAGGGCCCCTGTAATAGAAGGGCCCGCCGGAGGAACCTTGGAAAAATGGAAGGGTCGGCCCTTCTAATACAGGTTTTACGGTAATCTTAATAACACGGTTTCAAGAGGAGAAGAAAAGCAAAATATGAACATTACAGGTTACAGAAGTACTAGGAGAGACAAACAAGAGAGACAATATTACAATATTACAGGAGAGACAATATTACAAGATAAGTTATCTAAGTTTCCAGGATGCTATTCATGACGTGACCAAGTTGTTTTTGGATGTGGAAAAGTTTATGAAGACTCAATCGGAGCAAGATCAGAAGTCGTATGCCGCCTACGCGGAGAAGAAGAAAAAAGAGTTGGAAAATTGATATCATTTGTTGAAAATGAAGTTTTATTTTTATTTGAAAAACGAAATTCTTATATTGGCTTTTGGGAAATTCTTAGACTTTCTTAGACCCCCCCCCCCCCCCCCCCCCCGCGGAGAAGAAGAAAAAAGAGTTGGAAAATTGATAATGATAAACTGATGATAAGGGCGCAGTTCATGCATTTGAACTGTCAATGGAAGGCTTGGCCGGATCGTGGAGTTCCGGAAATTCCAATGGCGGTTTTCAGACTTCTTATTCGAGTGAGCATTTAGAAACGAATTCCAATATAAAAATAATTTCAGCTCAAAACAGCTAGCCCCATCAGTTATCTAAGTTATCTTGTGTGTCTTCATAAAAATCTAAGTTATCTTGTGTGTCTTCATTGTGTGTGTCTTCATAAACTTTTCCACATCCAAAAACAACTTGGTCACGTCATGAATAGCATCCTGGAAACTTAGATAACTTATCTTGTAATATTGTCTCTCCTGTAATATTGTAATATTGGCTCTCTTGTTTGACTCTCCTAGTACTTCTGTGACCTGTAATGTTCATATTTTGCTTTTCTTCTCCTCTTGAAACCGCGTTATTAAGATTACCGTAAAACCTGTATTAGAAGGGCCGACCCTTCCATTTTTCCAAGGTGCCTCCGGCGGGCCCTTCTATTACAGGGGCCCTTGAATTGGAGGAAG